TTGCCCGGATTTGAACGCTTGTTTTTGGGTTAGCTTTGCTGGCCAAGAGGCCTGGATCCTTGGAAGGACCAGGGCAGCAGTGCGCATTTGGTTTGCCCGGATTTGAACGCTTGTTTTTGGGTTAGCTTTGCTGGCCAAGAGGACTGGATCCTTGGAAGGACCAGGGCAGCAGTGCGCATTTGGTTTGCCCGGATTTGAACGCTTGTTTTTGGGTTAGCTTTGCTGGCCAAGAGGCCTGGATCCTTGGAAGGACCAGGGCAGCAGTGCGCATTTGGTTTGCCCGGATTTGAACGCTTGTTTTTGGGTTAGCTTTGCTGGCCAAGAGGCCTGGATCCTTGGAAGGACCAGGGCAGCAGTGCGCATTTGGTTTGCCCGGATTTGAACGCTTGTTTTTGGGTTAGCTTTGCTGGCCAAGAGGCCTGGATCCTTGGAAGGACCAGGGCAGCAGTGCGCATTTGGTTTGCCCGGATTTGAACGCTTGTTTTTGGGGTTAGCTTTGCTGGCCAAGAGGCCTGGATCCTTGGAAGGACCAGGGCAGCAGTGCGCATTTGGTTTGCCCGGATTTGAACGCTTGTTTTTGGGGTTAGCTTTGCTGGCCAAGAGGCCTGGATCCTTGGAAGGACCAGGGCAGCAGTGCGCATTTGGTTTGCCCGGATTTGAACGCTTGTTTTTGGGGTTAGCTTTGCTGGCCAAGAGGCCTGGATCCTTGGAAGGACCAGGGCAGCAGTGCGCATTTGGTTTGCCCGGATTTGAACGCTTGTTTTTGGGGTTAGCTTTGCTGGCCAAGAGGCCTGGATCCTTGGAAGGACCAGGGCAGCAGTGCGCATTTGGTTTGCCCGGATTTGAACGCTTGTTTTTGGGTTAGCTTTGCTGGCCAAGAGGCCTGGATCCTTGGAAGGACCAGGGCAGCAGTGCCCACTTGGTTTGCCCGGGTTTGAACGCTTGTTTTGGGGCAACGGGGCCCTCGTTAGACCCCTGGTTCGTTCAACCGCGAAATCGAAAATTGCACTAAGTCCTTCTTTTGAGTCTGTTATCGAAACCTCGACGGCAGGTCAGCGAAACCCAGGGACGCGCTACCACCCCCTCCAGGCGCGGGTCATGCCGGAGAGAGTGGTCTCTTTCCGGGCATGGCTTGGTGAGCTCTCCCCCTGGTCCAACGAACGCCCCCGGTGAGCGCACTTAGGTCTCAGCTGGTGCGTAAATGGTGCCGCTGGTGAACCATTGGCCTCCGAGGCTTCATGTCACGCGCTCTCTGCCCAATACACCCTCACTTATCCCGGGCAAGCACTGATCACCAAAGACCCCCCCCTGGCTCTTTCTGACCCATCGCTTACCGTTGGTGACCCACATAGGCCTTTGCGCGCGGTGGCCTGCCATGGAACCCTGACTCCCATGGTGTTCAGACCACTGGCCTTGCCCGGATTTGAACGCTTGTTTTTGGGTTAGCTTTGCTGGTCAAGAGGCCTGGATCCTTGGTAGAACCAGGGCAGCAGTGCGCATTTGGTTTGCCCGGATTTGAACGCTTGTTTTTGGGTTAGCTTTGCTGGCCAAGAGGCCTGGATCCTTGGAAGGACCAGGGCAGCAGTGCGCATTTGGTTTGCCCGGATTTGAACGCTTGTTTTTGGGTTAGCTTTGCTGGCCAAGAGGCCTGGATCCTTGGAAGGACCAGGGCAGCAGTGCGCACTTGGTTTGCCCGGATTTGAACGCTTGTTTTGGGGTAGCTTTGCTGGCCATTGAGGCCTGGGTCCTTGGTAGGACCAGGGCAGCAGCGCCCACTTGGTTTGCCCGGATTTGAACGCTTGTTTTTGGGTTAGCTTTGCTGGCCAAGAGGCCTGGATCCTTGGAAGGACCAGGGCAGCAGTGCGCATTTGGTTTGCCCGGATTTGAACGCTTGTTTTTGGGTTAGCTTTGCTGGCCAAGAGGCCTGGATCCTTGGAAGGACCAGGGCAGCAGTGCGCATTTGGTTTGCCCGGATTTGAACGCTTGTTTTTGGGTTAGCTTTGCTGGCCAAGAGGCCTGGATCCTTGGAAGGACCAGGGCAGCAGTGCGCATTTGGTTTGCCCGGATTTGAACGCTTGTTTTTGGGGTTAGCTTTGCTGGCCAAGAGGCCTGGATCCTTGGAAGGACCAGGGCAGCAGTGCGCATTTGGTTTGCCCGGATTTGAACGCTTGTTTTTGGGGTTAGCTTTGCTGGCCAAGAGGCCTGGATCCTTGGAAGGACCAGGGCAGCAGTGCGCATTTGGTTTGCCCGGATTTGAACGCTTGTTTTTGGGGTTAGCTTTGCTGGCCAAGAGGCCTGGATCCTTGGAAGGACCAGGGCAGCAGCGCGCACTTGGTTTGCCCGGATTTGAACGCTTGTTTTGGGGTAGCTTTGCTGGCCATTGAGGCCTGGGTCCTTGGTAGAACCAGGGCAGCAGCGCCCACTTGGTTTGCCCGGATTTGAACGCTTGTTTTGGGGTAGCTTTGCTGGCCATTGAGGCCTGGGTCCTTGGAAGGACCAGGGCAGCAGCGCCCACTTGGTTTGCCCGGATTTGAACGCTTGTTTTGGGTTAGCTTTGCTGGCCAAGAGGCCTGGATCCTTGGAAGGACCAGGGCAGCAGTGCGCATTTGGTTTGCCCGGGTTTGAACGCTTGTTTTGGGGCAACGGGGCCCTCGTTAGACCCCTGGTTCGTTCAACCGCGAAATCGAAAATTGCACTAAGTCCTTCATTTGAGTCTGTTATCGAAAACTCGACGGCAGGTCAGCGAAACCCAGGGACGCGCTACCCCCCCCTCCAGGCGCGGGTCATGCCGGAGAGAGTGGTCTCTATCCGGGCATGGCTTGGTGGGCTCTCCCCCTGGTCCAACCAACGCCCCCGGTGAGCTCATCCATAGCGTTTGCCAGCGGTCGTTCCAAAGACCCCCCCCGCTAGAGACCCACCATCCCCCAAATGAGTGTTAGTTGTTTCAAACAGCAAAAAAATAAAATCAATGCATTTCGTTTTCAAAATGATTTTTTTTTTTACTTTCTTAGGTCAGTAACAAAGTAAAGTAATAATAAATGTGAATAAATAGCCTAAATGAAAGGAACAAGAGAGACCAAAATCAGCCACCAGGTCTAGTGCCCCCCTATGGATTTAAAATGCCCCCTCAGTTCTGATTCCTGGCGCCGGGCCTGGATGTGAGTCTAGTTACCAGCGTGAAAAACAGGTAGTAATAGAAACTTTTTTTATTACGTGTTTGAGGCCATATTTGACTACAAAAGTGCAGTCAGTAGGCTACTTTAACTTTTACCAGAGTTGTTTTAAGCATCAGTATCACTTTTTCTTGAATAGGATGTGTGTATTTTTGCCATCTCTGTCCATTTCTTAAAAATAAATAATAATACAATAAAAAGTATGGTTAAATTAACTGAAATGTGCCCTAAACAGAAAAGTGTGTATCATGCAGTCAAAATAGCATTTATTTTTTGAATGTCACGTTAATTTTCTTAAAATAACACATAAGGATGTGCATTATATCAGCTAAAACAGAGTTTTTCTTTGTTATAGCAGGTGCAGCCAAACTGCGACACAACAGCCACCGAATTTACAGGGCCGACGCAGAGCTGAAAACACTATCTGATGCTTCTGTTGTTGTTAATGTTAAATTGACCAATACATGTTTTGTCATTACTTTTGTCTGCAAATATTAGGCTAATAAATAATATTTTTTAAACAAAATGTTGAATTTCTGAATTATGTGTATTTTCTAAAACGTTTATAAAGGTATTTCTCACAACCAAATTTCGACTTAAAATTGACGTATTTTCGACGACATGAAAAAGACGTCTTTTCACCTTTCACTTTCCCACCTGTTTTCCACGTTGTTTGGACGTCTTACAATTACGTCTTTCCGACGACATGAAAAAGACGTCTTTTCACCTTTCACTTTCCCACCTGTTTTCCACGTTGTTTGGACGTCTTACAATTACGTCTTTTCGACGACGTTAAAAAGATGTAGTTTCGTCTTTCACTTTCCCACCTGTTTTCCACGTTGTTTGGACGTCTGACAATGTCGTCTTTTCGACGAACTATTGCTGGGTGGGCTGGCTCTTCTTCATCTACCAGACTGGTCATTCTTTGGGTCAAACTGTATACCCGAGATGGGGGACTCGAGTCACATGACTTGACTCGAGTCAGACTTAAGTCACAAAATTCAGGACTTGAGACTTGCTTTACAAATATCCAAAAAAGACTCGACTTGACTGTTGGGGAAATATAAATTTCTATCATCTAATTCCAAATGAACAATAATCTAAGTATAACTGAAAAGTTATATTCTTTGGTTTTTAATCATATCATTTCATTGACATGCCAGCTAGGAGGGACATTTAATCTTTGCCTTGCTGACTACAGGCTAAGCCAAAGTGATGCAATTATCGATTTCAGAGCATGGCTGTATCTATTGTCTTCCCTGTCTCCAGAACATCATTTGCACATTGTTGTAATGATGTACATATATACAGATGAGATCAGACCTGGAGAAGGCATGGCACCCTGCAGACAACCAGACTTCATTTGCATGCTTTGTTTAACTGTCCCCATCATGACTGACCCCACCTACATGCTGTAAATTGTATAAAATGTATAATGTTTGCTGTGCAGTTGAGAGTTTGATGACGCCACAGCTACAATGAGTTCTTCTTATTAAAACAGGATTCTGCTTTGAAGACAACCGAAAGATTCTCCCTGTTTTTTTGGGCTCTTAGAAGTTTACAACAGTATAAATGGAAGTCTATGGGGAGAAAAGTCCAGTGTGACCGCGGCTTAAGTGCAGGTGAATGGTGTCTCTCCAGTGTGAATCATCATGTGTTCATTAAGGTGTGATGATTGGCTGAAACTCTTCCCACACTGAGTGCATGTGAATGGTTTCTCCCCAGTGTGGTTCCTCAGGTGTTGATTAAGGTGTGATGAGAAGGTAAAACTTTTCCCACACTGAGTGCATGTGAATGGTTTCTCTCCAGTGTGGTTCCTTAGTGTTTATTAAGGTTTGATGATTGACTGAAACTCTTCCCACACTGAGTGCATGTAAAAGGTTTCTCTCCAGTGTGGATCCTCATGTGTAGAGTAAGGTTTGATGATTGGCTGAAACTCTTTCCACATTGAGTGCATATGAATGGTTTCTCTCCAGTGTGGCTCATCATGTGTAGGTTAAGGGATGATGATTGACTGAAACTCTTCCCACACTGAGTGCATGTAAAAGGTTTCTCTCCAGTGTGGATCCTCATGTGTAGAGTAAGGTTTGATGATTGGCTGAAACTCTTCCCACACTGAGTGCATGTGAATGGTTTCTCTCCAGTGTGAATCCTCATGTGTAGATTAAGAGATGATGATTGGCTAAAACTCTTCCCACACTGAGTGCAAGTAAATGGTTTCTCTCCAGTGTGAATCATCATGTGTTTATTAAGGTGTGATAATTGGCTGAAACTCCTCCCACACAGAGTGCATGTGAATGGTTTCTCTCCAGTGTGGATCATCATGTGTTTATTAAGGTGTGATAATTGGCTGAAACTCCTCCCACACTGAGTGCATGTAAATGGTTTCTCGCTAGTGTGAATTATCATGTGTTGATTAAGAGATGACGATTGGCAGAAATTTTTCCCACACTGATTGCATGTGAATGGTTTCTCTCCAGTGTGGATCCTCATGTGAATCTTAAGATAGCCTTTTCTTCCAAAACTCCTTCCACACTGAGTGCATGTGAAAGGATTCTTGTCTCTCCTTTTTAAAATACCATTAGTCTGTGAATTAGTTTTTTCCTCAATTTTGACATGATGTTCCTCCTCTTTACTCCCCTCATTCTCTTCAATTAGGTCTGAAATAAATAAAACATTAGTTTTCATTAAGTCCTAAAATTTCTCATCAAAAGCTGAAACGTGAAAAGACACAGGAATCATTGGCTACACACACTGTCATTTTGATGCACAATAAATGTAAAATAGGTCAGATCATATTTTGTTTGGTTCATTAATGTGTACACATTTAAGCGGATACAATTCAATTAATCTACTTATCTAGTGCTTTTACAAAGTAAATTGTGTCAAAGCCGCTTAAAATAGAAGTTATAGTCATTTGAAACTGTCAGTCCAGTTTTCAGAGTTTCTCATAAAAGTAATTTTAGTCATATTGATAAGACACATATTTGAAAGTTGTAAGGGGCCTATTTTTATTTGTATTTATTCATAATTACAACAAAATGTTTTTCTAAAATTTGTAAAGCAGACAGGAAATACTTGTTCATTCTATGCCTGACTGGTAAATGCATCAGAAAAAAAAAGCTCTGTGGTAACAGCTGAATATTTGCCTCGCAGACATGAGACATACCTGTATATGATCTGCATAAAGGCTGGAATGTGCACCTTTCCCTTGTGTGGTGTTGGGTCTTTTTTCATCTATTCTGGGGTGATTTTTAAGCTTAATTTGTCCAAAACTTTCTGTTTTAGCAAACGGACTGATATTTGGGGACATCTTATTTTGACATATTCTGGAAAAATGCTTTGAAATAAAAAATAAAAAACTCAATACACTCTGGGCAAATTTACTCCCTTTTCGATATATTCATGGCTGTTTTTTTCTCCATTGGCCTCTATTATAACAAAAAAAAAAGAGATTGCAAAGCCATGACGGCATATGCATTTATGATAGTTGGTGTTTTCTGTGACGACAGTCAACATTGTTTAATTGGTCTCCACCAATGGGACAGCAAAACGGAAATGGGTGAAAGTATAAAGTGTAGGAACTCGCCATGTTTTTAGCGTTAACAATAAGCAGTCATGAAGCCTTGTTGCGCTACCTCGTCTCCTTCCTAATTAAGTATCACCGGGGGCTTAATTCTAACACACACTCTTCTTCCCCCTTATAAGACAAAGAACTGTTGTCACCCCCAGTTACTTAGTAATAATGGCCTATCAGGGATTCTGGCCATTTGGGACTCTCATGACTACGCCAAATTAAATCTTACACCCAAAGTAAGAAAAAAGACACATTTGTGTCTTTCCGGTTGACCTCCCACCCCTTTTCCTGTCCGGGGATTAGCACCATAACAACCAGGGAAAAGAAATGCATGGTCTCGCTCAGTAGCAACGGCCATTGGACAATAACAATGAGCTGGGTTAAATTCTGCCCACTATATAAATTCAATGATGTAAAGTTTTGTGGCTTTCGCTTTGGCTTCACGAGGGGTTTTCTAGGCACAACCTTTGCGGTGCACACTTCCCGTCTTTACAACATGCCTGCCGGACATCGCTCTTCGAAGAATCACCCGGTAAAGCCTGCGTCTGTCTGTCGTTACCTCACTGCGGCAACAAGACCCCGTTCACAGGAGCTCAAGCTGCTTTAAGTACATTCGCGACTCACATAAACTCAGTCTGACCCTGTTCTGCTCGTATAACCGCGTTCCCGTGAACACTCGGATGCCGCCTCATCCAGCAGCATTCAATTTCCCTGAACCCTGACTTCCTAAGTCTTCCTATTTCCACAGAAGAGCAGTCACTAGAGGATTTCCTTTCAGTATGCTGACCGCAAATTCTCCGTCACTGGGACAACGAGTCCTACGCTCCAGAAGACGAAGGAAAAACCCTTTCCAACAAAGGACATCCCAGCCATGACATCGTTGCAATTGATCGGCTTTGCCGGGGTTTCCCTCAACCAGCTGACGAATGAGACTGGTCATCAAAACGCAAGTAAACACAAACCAACATTTCATTCCTTGCCGAAACTGGTGTAAATTAAGTTTAAGCAGTAAACCTTAGACTCTCTGCTTAGTGGTTTTCTCAGATTGCAATGCCAAGAACTTAGCAAGTGCAAGACGTTTGGGACTCTGAGTTGTTCATCCTGTCATTCACATTTGGGACCCTTAGTTGTTCATCCTGTCATTCACTCATTCCAGAACTGTGTGTGTGTGTCTGTATGTTTGTCTATTTTACGTAGAGTAGTTTACTGTGTGTGTAGCTTAATAAACTTGTTTCATTTTAAGATTTTTGTCAAAGTTTTTTGTGTTTCTAAGTTACTGTCTCAGCTATATGGTCTTGCTACCTAACATACATAACCTACATAACTCAAACTATACGCATTTCTTTGCATCCATTCCTTCATTGACTACGCCCCCGAAGGACACCAGAAAGACCCGCTCACAAATCAAAAATAAGTATTGCTTAAAGAGGCTAATAATGACTTTTAACTGATAATCATTTTTAATAATCATGATTACAATTATGAACAAAATAATTGTGATTAAGATTTTTCCCATAATTGAGTTAATTGCAAAAAAATGCGGACACAAAAGTTCTGAATGCCATTTGCTTAAAAAGAAAAAGAGTGTCCCAAAACCAGTCAGTTTGTTGATGTTTACGTCGCAAATAGAAGGACTTGATGTGCTTGCTGCGAAAGCTGACACAAATGTTGAACGGGGGTATGATCCATTTATTTTGGATGGATTTGTGTCTTTGGTGGGTAATTCTAGCAGTGGAAAACCAGTTAAAATTCTCTGTGACACAGGAGCTGCTTAAAGTTTTCTTCTGGAAGGAGTATTGCCTTTGTCGGAGCAAAGCTCTATTGGTTCGAATGTTTTGGTGCAGGGTTTTTAAATGGGCTTCAAGAACGTGCCTTTGCACGAGATTGAAATTGAATCTTCCCTTGTTGTTGGCCGCGTCGTTGTTGGTGTGCGACCATGTATTCCTTTTCGAGATGTCACTTTTATTTTGGGGAATGACTTAGCGGGAGGAAAAGTTTTTGCCAGCCCTGAGGTGACTGATGTTCCTCTTCCTTGTACGACCCCTGATGATCTAATGCAGAAATACCCAGATGTATTTCCTTCGTGCACTGTTACTTGCGCTACGGCTCAGAGATTGAAAGAGGTGTATCTTAAGTCGGAAGGAGAATAGGATTTGAAATATTTGTTCCACTCTGCTTAAAATTCTTTAGAAGGTAAGCGTTCAAATACTTATAACAGTTCAGACATCGCCGTTACAGTTAATGAACATGCCGAGTCTGCTAAATTGTCTCTTTCACGCGAGCAGCTTATTAGTAAACAGAGGAAAGATGGAACTATTGCAACCCTCTTTGAAGCTGTGATTCATTTTGAGGAACTTGATGTATCTCAAGGATACAGTGTGAATGATGGTGTGTTGATGAGGAAATAGAAACCATCCACCGCAACTGCTGAAGATGGGTGGCAGATCGTTAAGCAGACAGTAGTGCCTACCTCTTATCAACCTGAAATTCTTCGACTCGTGCATGATAACCCTTTTGCTGGTCACTTAGAGCAGTGGTTCCCAACCTGGGGTCCCAGAGTTCACAAGGGGGGCGCGGGAGAGGATAAGTGTTGAGGTAGAAAAAGGCATAAAAATGCTCCACTATTATATGAGGCTGTACAATTAATCCAAAATCCGATTTCGATTTCAAACGATTATAAAAAAGCATTAATCAAGATGAACAATTATATGCATCATATACCGCCCCCTTTCCAGTTGTATGTGTTGCGAAAGACCGCGTGCTTATGTGTGTGTGCAACACGCACACGCAGTCTGAAGCATGCGGCCGGTCAGCATTTGCTCTCATTCGCACCCTGAGACGAGCAGAGGAGCGCAGACATCTAGTCATCTTAACGTGAGCGCTTTAATGGTCAAATAGGTGTCAAAACGCGGTGTTTAGTGATTATTTACATTAACCCTCATTTGTGTAATAAACAAACGAGTTGAGGATCAAAAGACGTGAAAGAGAAACCATTAAAGAGACAGCGCAAAATATTCCTGCTGCCGCCTGTTTTTATTATCATTAATCAAACATAACGAGAAAATGTTTCTCTGCTCTTGACTGTAGGATTTTTATAGCTAAAGTTTTTTTCTTACAGCGGAGATGCTTAAAGGGCCATGAAACCCCCTCGTTTCAGCAGGGTGTTTTCACACCTCTTCTTTGGAAAAAGTCAGAAAAGTGGGCGTGTCCAGCTATGTTTAGGGGGGAGTGTCGGAAAAACTAAAGTGGGAGGGTGTGGGAGTGTCTATTTGGGCACGCGCGAGTTTCAGTCAAAATACACAGGAGAAAGGGATGGTGTTTAACCTACATGGACATCTGTAGTCGAATTATTTGCCAAATTATTAAATGTCGGACTTTAACTGCAGTTCGGCTCTTTCATTCAGGGAATTCATTCATGCCCCTCGCGACAAATGAGATATTTGATTCGAGGAACTGCTCTAAGCGTGTATTTTTCATGCAATGTTTGATACCGCACGGCGAATGACGGAAAAAAAACTCCGCATTTCCCGGAAACTTAGATGCACACGGCAGGTAGCGTCCGAAAGCCGCGTGTGTTATTCCGGTCACAAAATGCGGTGCTAACATGTTTGCACTCAATGCAATAGTTAACTTATTTGATACGAACAAACTGAATATACAAAGAGCACTGGTCGCTCACTTACCAAATCTGTAGAGACAGGACAATCACCAGCAACTAGAGCTGCGTCTTTATGAAGAGAAGACTACATCCGGAATCCGGATTTCAGCGTTTGCAGATGAGAACAGCTCTCAGGTAAACAATAATCCCCCTTAGACACGTAAATTATTGTTGTCGAGCGTCGCGTACACTGTAATCCACACGTGATCCAGATAAGCTCTCACAGAGAGAAAATGAAAACGAAACTTAATGGCAGCAAACTGTAAAAGCAACACTTCACGCTTGTTTTGCCAACACAACGTGGCGTCTCTGTGGTGTAAAGACGGTGACACTAATGAATATTAATGAAGTTGCACAATAGAGCGCGCTGATTGGTTTGAACCAAGCCTTACTCATGCATTAATGCATCACACTGTAAGACGTAA